TTTATGGAGACCACAATAAATCAATTGCTGGCAGACTCCTATCTAAACCCTCTCGGTGAGTGGCAAGTGACAATTAAGCTGCATCTAGTGGCAGCTTCAGATTAGAATCTGACACTTATTTTTGTCCATGTGTGGCCTGCCCATTATTTATTGACCACTTCTCTCTGTGCCTCTTTCCTGTACTGCACTCTGCCTCCATCATAGTTTTGGGAAGCCTACAGCTGAGCCCTACCAAAATGAGTAAACAGCAAATGACTTGGGAGAGATGCTTTGCAAAGGGGGAAAGACCCAGTGGTGAAATAGTAGAAGACACTCAGGTGCCAAGAAAGAGAAAGCTGTACTTAAAAGAAAACATCAAGAGAACTACTAAAATTGCCAGTTTGTTGAAATAGGTGATTCACATTCTCCAAGATGGCTTTATATAATCACAGGAAAACAAGCTCAGGGCTCCCACTGATCTGTATTGTGGTGAGTTGTATAACTAATTTGTTAGATATTACAGTGCAGTAATAATAAAAATAAAGAGCATATGATAAATGTAATATTCTTGAATTATCTCCAAACCACCCCACACTCCAGTCTGTGGAAAAATTGTTTTCTACAAAATAGTCCTTGGTGCTGAAAAGGTGAAAAAGTTGGAGGCTATTGCTCTAGAGAACAGTTCAGTGGAACACTTGATGTTCCCAGAATAGTTTGACATCTGTGTATGGTCCACTGGTAGACACACTTTTTCCTGCTCACAGTGAAGCTCACTCTATCTCTTTTTAAAGTTTCTCTGACTGGCTTATTTGAATGACCTTGGAGAGCCTTTCTCCACAGTACTTCAGTTGTTCCATTACCTGACTTTTCCGACTAGAATACAAGTGCCTGGAAACCACAGACCATGTCTTTCATCTGCATATCTTCAAAACCTAGAAAAGGATCTAATACATAGAGAGTAAATGTTTGTTGAATGAATGAAAGAACTGAAGATGAATTCACCATAGACATGAAAGATGTGAAGACATGTTGAAATCTAGTTGATGGAGTATCTGACACTGTGGAAGAAGAGTGCTAGGGACTGAGTTATCTGGGGTGGTATGTGATATGGTTGCTGCCTTTCAGAAAGGACAATAACATCTCTTCCTTCACTCAGCAGAGATTGGTCATTAACTACAGTGCTGCTAGACTTGAGCTTAATTGTGTTTTTAGAGCCTCTGTGACAAAGCCACTACCAGGAAGTGGCACAGGAGGTGAAAATTATTTTCCATTCAGATCATACAGTTAAAAAAAATCATACAGTTGATCCTCCCTATCTGTGGGTCTCACACCCTCAGATTTAACCAACTGTGAATGGAAAATAATTGAAAAAAAAAGTCTGTACTGAGCAGGTATAGATTTTTTTCTCATTATTATTCTCTAAACAGTACAGCATAACAATTCTTTACATAGCATTTACATGAATTAGATATTACAATTAATCTAGATCCAGTTAATGATTATGGAAGGATGTGTGTAAGATGCATCTACTTGTTGGTGATGTTGGTGATGATGAACCTTTTGGCGCTTTCAGTGATGATGAAAACCTGGCTGTGGCACGCGTGCCATGGGTTCGCCACCACTGTACTATGTCCCTGGACATAAAGGACTTGAGCATCTGCAGGCTTTGATATCTGTGGAGGGTCCTGGCACTGATGTCCCCATAACTACACAGGGATGACTATGTTGTGGTTTGCTGCAAGCTTTCTGGTAGCTCTAGAAGCAAAAGGAGGGAAATCCACTTCATTGCATTTTTAAAGTGTAGGTGCTTTTTGAAAAAAGAGGTGAAGTCATTCACTGTTTATTCTTTGTTACAAACAGAAAATAGTGGGATATTGAATTATGGGAGGCTTTGACTATCTTGGGTGTCAGCTTCAGGGTTAGTTTATCCCACAACACAAAGCATACTAAAAGGTCATACTAGTTTAGAGTTACAGTCATGCATTTATTATATCTTGAATATTTTCAATTACTTGTATTCACATGTTGCCTTTAGAAGAATTATTTCCTGAAGACATCTTTGGTTATGGTAGTCCAGTTTTGCTAATTATTTGTTAGCGTGCCATGAAAGATAAAGAGTGTGAGTGCATAGTATGTATAATATGGAATCATGAGTTGGTGGGACTTCACCATATATCCTTTGAAAATATTAGTACTTGATCATCCTCTAGAGGGAAAATGGCCTCTACATTTGAAGTTGGAAAGTTGCTGGGATAAATGTTTGAAAAAGAAACACAATATTTGGCTTTTTAGGTTTTGGTACATGGATTAAGAATTGTGTACAAAGTGAAATATCTATAGTGATCTTCATTATAACTAATAATATCTCAATTATGGAAGAATCTTTTGAAAAAATAGTTCTATACTATATGGGATTGGGACGTGAAGCAGCCCCAGGACAGGGAATCCATGCAGTTCAAAAGAGCAAGTCAATTACCACATGTGAGGCTCCAAATACAAACGTCTCCCCCTAAGTGAGAGAGGCACAGCAAGTGAGGACAGAGTAATCAACCAACTAATGGATGTGCTCTGAGAAATAGCTCCTACCTAGCCAGGCACTTACGATCCATCCTTGAGGAACCTACGGTGGTTGAGAAATATATTTAGCTAACCATGTCTTTGCAGTGGAAAAGCTTACTGCCAAGAAAAGTTAGGGTTAATATGTAATTGCTCTGAATTGCATAAATTAAATTTAGTTAAACTGGTCTCTCATATATATATATTTTTTTTCTTTTATTTTTTGAGACATGGTTTCATTATGTAGTTGAGACTGACCTGGAACTCACTATGTGGCCCAGGCTAGTCTGGAACTCACACCGATCCTCCTGCCTCAGCCTCCCAAGTGCTGGGATTACAGGCATGCGCCACCACGCCTGGCTTAAACTGGTAATATTGACTTTGGTTAAAATGAAATATTTACCACAACTCTCATATCAATTTAATAAATATTTATTTCCTTTTGGGAGGCCTGAAATGCTTTGATGAGCTGATTACATGCTGTCTTGATGCATTATGATTACACAAAGTGCAGGAAACAGCCTGTGGTCCTGGGATGTTGCTGGGGTCCACAGTGGGTGCCAGTGACAGACAGCAGGACCAGCATGTGGGCCTGGAGCCTAACACAGTGTCTGTGCTCTGCTATTACCACCCTGAAATTCTTAATAGTTTGGGCTAAGGGCCTGCCTTTCTTTGGGGCTCGCAAGTCCTGATCCTGGTGGGCAGCAGCTTGTCAGGGGGAGTGCAGGCTTGGATGTCAGGGAGCTCTGCTCATACATGAAGGGGACCCAGGGTTAAGAAGCCTAACCAAGCCAGGTGTGGTGGTGCACGCCTGTAATCCCAGCACTTGGGAGGCTGAGGCGGGAGGATCGCTGCGAGTTCAAGACCAACCTGGGCTACATAGTGAGTTCCAGTTCAGTCTCAACTACATAGTGAGACCCTGTCTCAAAAAACCAACCCCCCCAAAAAGAAGCCTAACCAAGAGGAAAGGTTTAGGGTTACCTACACAAAAGCAGAAGGACAGCTGTGGGGATGGGGTGTTTGTCCCTCTGGGTTCCCTGGAGATCGGGCAAAGGCCCCCAAACCCCATCTCAGTGAAACAGTTTAAAACCTCAAGGAGTCTTGTTTGTCCCCACCCTTATGTGATCCTGTGCTACAGGAGACCTTGTCCTGTTTATGCCCTTTTTGTCCCTGGAAGAGCTTGGGAATCATTCTCAAGGATGGTTCCCTGTTTAGCTGCATGGGCCATACTAACCAGCTTGACTGGGCTTCTCAGGGGCATCTGGGTTGGCAGGGGGATCAGTCAGGCCAGCACTGAGGACTCTGGACCACCCGACTTCTGGGGACTGTTGCTCTTGGCTTGGGGTTTGGCTGGCAACACCTGCTGCTCTCAGTTCTCTTGCCTAAGGAGGGCTGGGCAACAGAGACCCTTCCCCTCCCAAGTGTATACGGTGATCAATGAGGATTCACTTGTCTGGATGGAGCTCGCCTTGGGGCCTGGGGTGCTGAGCACTTCAGAATGCTGGGGTCACACAATGAACAACTGTTGAGCAAGTTCACAGAGGCTGCACTGTGTCCAACCAAGTGGGGCCACTGGCAGTTCTAGGGTCAGACCAGACTGACAGTTTTTATAAGTAAAAATACACTAAGAGCTCAGAGTGTGACTGAGGACATCCACCTCTCCTCAGGCCTGTCTCCCTTGGGACTGTGCCTTGAGGTCAGGGACTTTGTTTTCCTTGCTTCTGTATCCCTGGCCAGGCACATTGTGGGGTTTGTTTACAGGAAGGGATGGGAGCAATGCCAGAATGTAGAAGCTGGAGCTACAAGAGAAGGAGGCTAGACATGGTAGCCTTCCAGAGAGGGTATGGTGCCCTTGGGATTCTTGGGTCTGTTTTCTCAGGGCAAGAGAGGTTCAGGTCCTCTTGCTGTCCCTGAGGGATGGATGGTGTAAGGAGCTGGCACTGTGGTAGCCAAAGGAATGGTCAAGATCACTATTTGGGGCAAGGGATGAGAACTCAGCAGCACAGAGTGGGGAGGATAGGAAGGGGCGCATAATTTGGGATTTGTCTGTCCTGGGCTCTCAGTCACTCAACAAGTACCACTGGGTGCCCACTGAATGGGCCACCTGAACAGAAACCTAGGAGAAGTGGGGACATGAAGTACATAATGATACTCAGCCTTCAAGGCAGCCTCAATGGCATCTTGGAAGAAGAGGAGGGTGGGAACTGTCTTACTGAACCATTGTGTACAGCTGCCCTAGACCTTCATAGCCCATTCTTTCTTCCTGGCTCCATGGGTCCCAGTTCTGGTTGTGGAGGTCTTTTTGGGGTGCAGTAGATGAAAGTGAACAGATACCACAGCCATGTGTGCTTGGATGTGTGTGCCTGTGGCCATGCCTACACGGCCAACCCCCAAGAATAGCACACAGGTCAGTTGCCGAAAGTTTATTGCCCACCCTCTGGGGCTCATGGGCTTCAAGTGGGAGCTGGGGCTGGGCCCCTCACACAGGCCTGTAGGTGCCATTGTAGGTGAAAGGTGGAGGCCTCAAGCAGTCTGTGTCCTCAGGGATCCAGCGCTGGATGTAGTTGGGACCCTTGTCCTGGGGCCACACGATCATGGTGTCTCTGGATGCCAGGGATGGGTCCTCTGTGAAGAAGTTGAAGGGCCGGAGCAAGAAGCCCACGGAGTTCCCGGGTGTGGCTGTGTTGGGGATGTCCTCCGAGTGGGGGATGTGTAAAAAGCCCACTGTCACCCAGGCCACCAAGTCCTGCAGGAAGAGGGCAGGCTGAGTACTGACCACTGAGGCTATACCAGCTTCTAGAAGCTTCTTGAGAGCCCCCCAACCCCCTGTTTGCAGATCTGGGCAGATCTGTTGTGACCTCTGAGTTTGGCCTCCACTCAGAGAGCCCCGAGACAGGGACAAGTACAGGTCCAGGCTGAGGCTGCTTAGCACTCTGCTAGTGATGAGGCCAGAGGTGGGAAGGGTGGGGACTGGGCTGTACCTCGTTCTTAATGCTCTCATTGTTGCGAAGAAACTCCTGGAAGACCACAGGGGGGTCCCAAGGGTCATTCTGGTTGTAGATGCTGCTGCTGCACAGCTCTGACTCCCGGTACTTGGTCACTGCCAAAGGGTACCTGCGGGTGAGGGGAAACCAGGTGGTTTTGGGTGCAGAAGTGGCCACCAAGCCCCTCCTGGGGAGCACCCTCAGAATGAGAGATGAGGACGTTGTTGCTTCCCCAGGGTGGAGGCCAGACCTCCACTGTCAGTGGAGGACCAGGATACACTTGCCCATACTCACGCATAGACACGGAGCCTTGCAGCTGAAGCACAGACAGACACACAGGGACACCGAGGAGGCAGTGGCCCTCACCAGCCCCTTGGGTCCCCTCACCTGGCCCAAGTGATGCCCCGCTCCTCTGGCAAGCCTGAGGGCAGCACCTGCCCGGTCATGGAGTGGATCTGCAGGCGATAGCTGCGCTCGTGACCCCAGAGGTTCTTCTCAGGGCTGGTGAAGAGCAGGTACTTGGGCAGAGTCTGCCCAAAGTGGAAGGCTGCCTGGCGCTCCCAAGGGTACTGAGTCTGCTTGAGGGTAGGCTGGACCAGGTGGTGTCTTGGGCTCCAGGGGTTGGTGATGTTTTCTAGCTTCATCTCAAGCGTCTGGAAACTATTCTTGGTCCCTGGAGGTGTACACAGTGTAACCCAAACATATAGGGAAGGTTTAAATTAAAAAAAAACTTTGGTTATAAAAGACACACTGCCATTACTGTCCCTCAAATTTTTCCCCCTTGCTTTGAACGCACTTGTGCTAACTTTCTTGCCACTTTCTGAAGCAGTTCTAGAAGCCCTCTTTCCTGAGTGTCTTTATGAGCTATGACCCAAAGTATATTGAAAGTGCTTCCCAGTGCCATCCTATGGAAAGACAAGTTTGTAAAAGCATGACAGCATGTCCTCATCCACCTTATTCACCAGATCTGGCACCTTGTGACTTCTGGCTCTTCCCCAAAGTCCAAATGACCACGGAAGGGGAATCTTTAGAACTGATTCAAGATATCAAGGACAGCACAACTAAAGACACTCACAAAAGAGAACTTCCAGAGCTGCTCCAGAAAGTGGCAAGAATCATGGGATGACTATAATCAAAGTGAGGAGTATTTTGAAGAGGATTCATGGCAATGTGTCTTTTTCTGTAACATTTTAAAAAAATTTCAACATTGACCATATATTTCAGCCACACCTCATTCAGAGGAAAGCAGAATGAAAAGCAAGCACTTGGAACTGAAACCTCCCTCTCCTGCCCTGTGACCTCCAATCCAACAGCTGAAACCATCAGGAAGAAGAGAGCACTGGGCTCATGGCCTGGGCTAGCTCTGGGGATGGAGAGAGGGGATTATAAAAACCAGAGGAGCTGGAGGAAAGCTCACGGATCAGTCATGGTAAAGGCATCAATCCCAGTAGGACTGACAGGTGTCTCAAGAGCTGTGCTAAACCCATCGCTGTGGTTGCAACCCCAGAGTAGGCAACCCAAGGCATGAGAGCTGGCAGCTGGTTCCCTCTGTACTAGCAGGTGGAAGCTGCCCATCTGCTCACAGCAATCTTGTTTTGTTATGGGATCTGATCTTGAGCATGACACCCATGCCACTCTTCCATGTGACATCATTCATGGAGAGAAACAGAGTATCCTCAGGTGTTGCTGACCCCAGCTCAAAGTGCTAGGCAGAGATCTCCTCCCCTAACTCATGCACACAATTCTACTCAGCTCAGCTGCAGGGGCAAGGACACTTCCACACTGGCATAGAGGGTGCAGCTTGGGGGTTATTCAGGGGCACCCAAACCTCTAGTTTATACGAAACAGGAGCAGGCTGGGCAAACACTCCCGATTTTATGTAAGGGAGTTTGAGCACTTTATGATAATCTTATGGATTCAGCTTCCTCCCCCTGCCCCAGCCTAGGTGAGAACCAGTTGGGGTCACTGAAGTATAAGTTACTGGTGGGTGCAGGTATGTGACCCAGAGGCCTAGTTCTGAGTCCTACCTGCCACGTCCAGGTCGACACGGTAATGTATCAAGTGGGTGTGTATGTTCCCGAGCAGGTGAGTGTGCAGGCGAGTGCCGTGGTGCTTCCCCTCGGGGGTGTAGAAGGTGGCGTGGACATAGCCCGTGGCATGCATTTTGGCTTCCATCACCCCGTTCGGATAGAAGATGAAGTCCCAAATGTAATCATAATTGTAGACTGTTGAGGTTGTCCGTAGCACTAGCACCTGACCCTTCAGCCCCGCATAGAAGTTGAAGCCTCCATTAGAGTTGGAGTCAAAGTGCCGTCGAAGTGGCACCCCGGTGGGCATCTCAAAGAGGCAGAGGGCTCGGCGATAGAGGACAGGGTCATCGACATCATAATAGTGGAAGGTGTCCAGGAAGGTGGCCGTCTCCGGGCAGTCGATGCCAGGGGCTAACTCGTAAGAGACACTGCCCAGGCCCCAGCCCACATCCATGTACTTGGTCTGCATGCCGGCAGGCGTGTGACCTCCATACAGCGCCACGGCTTCTTGCACACTGACCTCATAAGCGATGCGCTGATCCCCGAAGTGCACATTCAGGACCTGCAACCCGGAGGAAGAGCGCAGCCGGAAGGCGAAGCTCCAACCCCCATAGAACACAGTGTTGCCCTCCAGCTTGTAGCGAGGGCCATGAGGCTGCACAAGGCGGGGGCCCCCCATGTGGCTGGGAGTTGGGAAATTCCCTCGGGGCTTGTAGGAGGAAAACAAGGGTGGATCCTCTGGCCTCTCAGTCCCCTGGCCCTTGTGCAGTGGTCCCTCGAGGGTCACAGTGTCCACTTCTCCATTTGCGTACTTCTGAGCCAGCTCTTCCGGGCTCTGGTAGAACTTCCCATTGTACCAGACCTGCTCCACCTTCCAGTGCTGGACATCTATGCTCCCATGGTCCACCAGGAGCTCCAGCCCAGTGGGGTGCAAGAAATAGCCTTCTACATTGCGCTGTACAATAATCCAGCTGCGGCGCTGGCCAGAGGCCAGGCCCCGAGGGGCCACATCGGTGAAGGTCAAGCACTGGTCACCAGAGTCTTGCAATGAGAAGCCTGTGGTATCTAGAAAAAACTGATGCAGGGGCTTGGTGGCCTCCTTCAGGGTGTTAAAGAGGAAGGTGTATTCTACTCCAGTGATGGGCCTGGAAGACCAGGATGGCTGGTGCCTTGGCCTTGGGGACAGTGGTCGAATGTAGGAGGGCTGTGGAAGGGGCCCCACAACAAACTCAGTGATATTGGGGTGCTCCTGGGCCCCAAAGAAAATGATGGTCCGAGCTTCCCGCACAGGAGGCCTCCCTCCTGTGCCCAGAAATCTCAGCACATGCTGCTTCTTGGGCAGTAGCATCTCGATGAGAAACACCGAGTTCTTGGCCATGGTCGGTGTCCTTGAGGGCTGCAGCTGCAGCTCCGGCTGGGACTGGAGGAAGCTGTGCACCTGCTTTATCTCCTGGGCACTCAGGTCCGCAAACACCTGCGCTTTGTCGGGCAGCGTCCATGAGGGGCGCTCTGTGGTTGCCATCTGCAGAACCAAGATGGCAGCCAGGATGCAGCCAAGGGACAAGCTCTTGTGCCCCATCGCTCTGAAATGGAGCAGATCAAAGGGCTTAGGTGTTTTATGGAGGGAAATAGGTTTGTCTCAGGTCGGCACCGTGGAGTGCCATGCTCCTTAGCCTGCTGATTTTCCTTCACTTGTCCCAGCCCAAACGGGAGATAGCTGGGGTCAATGGGCTCCCACACATTGTTCCCAGGGTCACCCAGGTCCCATCTGTGTTTGTCTTCTCTTCTCTTCCTCCCTTCATCTGCAGTCCTCTATAGTCCTGTGGACTTTCTTACCTAGATTTGTGTGCTTGCTTGTCTTACCCTTTGTGGACTCTGTCTTAGACATAGCCTTCTCCTCACCCCTGGGTACCATGATCACAGCAGGCCCTGTGCCCTGCCCTCCCAAGCCACAGCCCTGCAGACTGTACCAACAGCAAAACCACCTTTTGATATGACAAAATACTTTTTAGGGAGCCCAATTTTGGAATTTAGAGTAGAAGTTCAAAGGGTAGGATCTGGGGACAGGCTGACAGAGTTTGAGTCCTGATAAGTCACACCACTAGGACTAGCTGTGTGACACTGGGCACATTGCTCAAACTCTCTGGACCTCTGTTTTCTCAGCTGTGAAATGAAAATAAGGGCGGCACTTATCTCCTAGAGTTGCCAAGAGAAGACAACTGAAGAGTAAATAGAAACACACACAAACATATGAAGGATCAGATCTGTCTCTCCTGTGTCTGTGTCTCTGTTTCTCTCTCCCTTGAGAATTGAATGAATCTAGAGCCTTTGCTATATCCCTAGTCCTTTTTGAATTTTATATTTTGAGACAGTCACTACAGTGCCCAGGTTAGGCTCAAATTTACAAACCTCCTGCCTCGGCCTCTCAGAGTGCTGGGATTGCAGGTATGCGTCACCACACCTGGCTGGTTCAAGCGTTCGCCCTCTCTCTCTCTCTATCTCTCTCTCCTCTCCCTCTACCCCTCCCTCCCCTCACCTCTCTTCCTTTTTTTTTTTTGAGACAGGGCCTTGCTATGTAGTTCAGGCTGATTTGAACTCACTATGTAGCCCAGACTGGCCTCAAACTTGAGCTGATTCTCCTGCCTCAGTCTTCCAAATATTGGGAGTGCAGGAGTGCACCACCATGTTTGGCTCTACTCTTCTCTTTAAAGTGAACCTTGGTTTTGGACCCCAGCACACTGCAGGTTTTAAACACTGCAGAGATTTGACACAAGGAGATTCCAAGCCTTCTCTGGCTCTACTGTGGGTACTTGAGTGGTGATCTCTTGGCCATCCACGCTATAAGGGTACATTTGGCAGCATCCAGGGTCACCCCAGGTCACGATACAGGAAGACACTCTCCCTTTTCCCTTTGAGAGGAGGGCAAAGTCAGGCTATCAATAAAATCTTGCATGAGTAGTTGAGGGCAGAGCTGCTTGGAGGCCTAGGTGACCACCTTTCTGTCCTCTCTTGTGCCTGAGGTGGGGCCACCCACCAAGGCCTGTTGTGTGCAGAGTCCCTGGGAGACTGTGTTTTTGCCCAGTGCCCTGGCTGATGCAGCCACTGACCACTGCTATCTTCCAGCCCAGGTTTCTCAGGCCCCTAAATTGTCTTCCTCAATGATATTGGGATCCTACTCTGCACCATGACATTTCTCAACAGTGAAGCTGCCTCACTGCTGTCGCTGACTTCCTAGGATTCCCATTGACCTTGAAATCCCACTTGGGGATTCCTCTGGCTTTCTAACAATGCTTCTCAGCTCCCACAGGTGGGGCCCAGGGTCCAAGACCCAAATTGAGCTTGAGCTACAGATGGGTTGAAGGACTCATAGAGGGCCTTGCTTTCATAGGTAATTGTCTCTCAGTTTCCAAATCGGACCCTCTGGGGAATATCCAGGAAGAGACAGAGGCACAGAGTGGGTCTCAGAGGTCTGTCTTGTCCAGCTTTCTCCAGGAGGCCCAGGGCCTGGCTGGCAGGGGGTCTTTAGACTCTGGGACTTGAGGTGCATTTCCCCTAAGAGCTCTATAGCACAATTGGAATCAGACATAAGCAAATGTAGCTTCATCCAGTACCTGATGGAGGAACTGGGCAGAGGAGAATCTGAGCTTTGTAGATGCTTAATTTTTGCTTTTTGGGAGATGTGTTTTGCATGTCGCATGACTGATATGAAATGTTGGGACCACAACACGTCTCTTCACTTAGAGGCCTGATCATCTTTGTGCATGATTCCCTTCAGAGAAGCTACATTTCATGGTGTCTCTCCTGTGCCAAGTTCATATCCTGTGCCTCTCAAAGTTGGCTAAAACAGTACCCTGCCAAGGACCTTTCGTCTTGGGCCCTACCTAACATAGCTCACTTCCCCACTCAGTGTCCTCTTAGCACTTTGGTATTTAGTTGGTACATTCATGAGCATTTCTTGAGCTGGAGACAAATGTTTGCTGGGCCTGGTGAACAGATGGACTATTGGGAGCCACAGATTTTCTGTTTTTGGACCTCCTGGCCTTGGTGATGACAGCCAAGGGAGGTTGAAGAGGTCTTTTTCTCTGCTTTCCCTGTTCCCACACCTAGATGCTTACATGGCTCTAGTTTTGCTCCAGGAACATGGCCCACCCTAGGGATTTCCCTCTCATGACCCTAACTCATGACCCTTCTGGTGTGAGTGTGGGGGACACATACGACCTTGTGCTTTCTGGGCCCAGTCTGAGGGAGGCAGGTGAGACAGGAAAGCTAGTTGAACCTGGGGCCAGGAAGAGGATTTGAGCTGAGCTCTGGCTCTACTATTAAATTTTGTCCAGGCTTCTGTATTAGTTACCCTTCCATTCCTGTGACAAAGGGACATACCAATTTAAAGGAGGAGAGGTTTATTTTTTTGTTGTTGTTTTGTTTTGATTTTTGTTTTTTTTGAGACAGGGTCTCTCTATTAGTTCAGGCTGGCCTTGAACTAATTATGTAGCCCAGGCTGTCCTGGAACTCATGGCAGTCCTTCTGCCTCAGTCTCTTAAGTGCTGGCATTACATGTGTGTGCCCCCATGCCCAACTGAGAGGTTTATTTTGGCTCATGGTTTCAAAGGCTTCAGATCAGGGGTGGCTGACTCCAAGGCAAAAACATCATACTGGAAAGGTGTGGTAGAGGAAAGCTGCTCAACTCATGGCATCTGAGAAGCAAGGAAAAGTTGGAAAGGAAGGGGCCTGGGACCAGATGTAGTCCCCAAGGTTATGCCTCCATGACCAATCCAGACACACCTCAAAGTATGCTTCACAAATCTCATAGGTGTGTCTTACACCAATCAAGTAGACAAGATTAACCATCACAAGTCAACACCTTATCAACTTGACACCCAAACACATCTCCTTACAACATACTTCAACTCCAAATAGAGACAATAACAAGGTCATACTTGCATCTATCATGATACGACTATCCTGCATACAACCTCAAGATGCAAATCCCTCCCCCAAAGTCTCAACATTTCCAACCTTGTTCAGAAGTCCAAGAGACTCAAGGCAAACTCTTAGCTATGAACTCCTGTAAAATGCAAAAAATCAAGTTTCATACTCCCAAGATACAATAGCATACGGTAAACATGCCCACTTCAGAAGGGATGAATAGGGGAACAGAAAAGAATATGACCAAGTCAGGAACAATAGCCAGCAGGGAAAACCCAAGTCCTGTAGTTTCATGTCTGCATCAGAGCATAAGCTGGTGAGATGTGAGGTCCAGAGGACTTGGGTGGCCTCATCCATACAGCCTTGTCAGTTGCAGCCCAGCCCACAAGGCCTCTCTCCTGGGCTGGCTGTGCTCAGTGCTTGTGTAGCTTTCCTCAGTGAACATCCCACATTCTTGGCATCTCTAACTTAATGGGGTCAATCACTTCCTGAAGTGCCCACAACATCTTCAGCTTTACTCTTAGAGCTTCACAAATCACTTCCCACTGCAGGGACTCTGACCCTGAACTCTCAGACCTTCCTCTGAAGTCGGAGCGGGAGCCCCCACCACCTCACAACTCTTGAATGTTGCATGCTTGAAAAACTAGCTTCACTGCATGGTGCTAAGGTGGCTGCATTACCTATGCAAGAAGGAGCCAGCCCCACAGCCGCAGTGGCCTCTGAGTGTGTGCATGGCTGGACTTGGAGAAATGCTTCCCTAAACAGCCCTGAGTGAGCAGGGTGCCTTGGGGCTCTCTTGGCAAAGTGAAATCCTTTAAACAACTTTACACTTTTACACTCTTGAGCCAGTGTTGATGAATGAAGTCTAACCAATTATTGAGATGCCCTTAAGGCATCTTTCCTAGTGTCCTATTGCAAAGTGCTTGGCTTCTTTTTAATGACATAAGTCTCTCCTGCAACCACATTCTTCTTAGCTCCAACTTTGCACATGCTTTTTTCTGGTCAAACTGCCAATTTTTCAAAATTTTCAGTTCTGCTTTTTTTTTTCTTTGATTCCCACTGTAAATCTGACTAAAAGCAGTCAGCAGACCTCATATCATAGCTTGAATGTTGTGCTGCCTTGAAATTTCCTCTGCCAGATTAGTCTGCTATCCTTCAACTCAGGGTTGCACAAAGTTTTATGACATGGACAAAATATAGAAAATTATTTGCTAGAAAGTAACACAAATGGCCTGTAATCCAGTTTTCCATAGAGTCCTTGTTCCTGCCTGAGATCCCATGAGCACAGACTTTGCTGTTTGTATTCCTGTCAGCTTTCTGGCCTTCAGAGCCCCCACCAGAATTGCCCATCCAACCCTGCTTGGGATTCTCTAACCTTTATCTTTAAGTCTTTCCAACTCCTCAGGCAAACCAGTTCCAAAGGCTAATAGGTCATATGGCCAGGTATGCAACAATGACTTCACTTCTCTGGTACCAGTTTTCTGGTCACCTTTCTGTTGCTGGGACAGATTCCTGACCTAACAACTTAAATGTTGGCTCATTTTCAGGAGAAGTTTTGGATTCACAGCAAAGTTAAGCAGAAAGCACAATCAGCTCCCGTATATCTGCTGCTCTTTCTTCCCACTACCACCTCTCCCACTATCAGAATCCACTCGAATGGGGCATGTGCTATAGTCAATGAACCAACAGAGTCCATAGTTTACATTAGTCCATAGTTTACATTGGAGTCCTGTGTTCAGTGGATTTTGAGAAATGTATAATGACATCTGACCCCTATTTCAGTGTCACAGAGAGTAGTTTCACTGTCCTAAAAATCCGCACTTCGCTTACTCATCTTTCCCTCCCTGATCCCTACCAACCACTGATGTTTTCCCGTCTTCACATTTTGCCTTTTTGCGTAATATCATATGGCTGGAGTCCTGCACTATGCAGCATTTTCAGACGGCTTTTATCCTTTAGTAATATGCATTTAGGCTACCACCATGCCATTTCGTGGCCAGAACTCCTTATTCTACCACTTCTTATTCCAAATTTCTTTCTGCTTTGCCATGAAAGGGGTTGATACAGAAGTTATATTTTCTTTTCCTGGTAGAAGCCTCTGTTCCTACATCCACACGGCCAGCAGGAAGGTGGACAGTGGCCATGGAACCACCTGTCACCCAGGTCTCTGTGCTGCAAGCAGGAAGCATTCTCATTCCTCCTCATCCACCTCCTTGCTGCACTTTCCTGTCTAACCCCAGAGCAGTCTGAAGCCTTTTGCAACTGGCTGTGGGCTTTTGTCCTTCCACTCCTTTTGCTGTGTGTTTTTGTTTCTCCTGCCCCTCACTCCGTGCCTCATCCCTCTGCTCTCTCCCCTTCCTATTCAGCCTTCTTGTGTCCCATCACAACATACCTGTGTGCTGTGCTCACCTCCGGCCAGCTCTTGCTCCTGGACACTGATCCCCGACTCCTTCTTGAAGTTATTGGACCTCGCACAGCAGGGAGGGGCAGGGTGAGGCATGGGCTGGTCAAGATGGAGACTATAGCTTGAGGGTTTCCCCAGTGGTGGGAGGATTAGGGTGCACCCACGTGTGTCCTATCTGATTCCCTTTGATATCTGTTGTCACAGTGCTATCTTTCATGAGAACTGATCTTGACTTTCTCTTGTACAATCCATGCAGAGGTATGGTCTACTCACATGGGTGTCTTTTAACAGAGGCAGAGATGAGACAAGGGGAAATTTACTAGCTGGTAGTGTTCCCTGAGGTAGACTTGAGTCAAGGCAGGGGCTGATAGGGACTTACAGACACAGCAAAACAGAAACTGTGACATATGTAGAACAGGGAGCCAGAGATGGGGCAGTCTGGGAGAGAGAAGCCACTGAAATGAGCCTCTGGGAGAAATGTTTTTCACCATCTCTGGGGACCATGGCAGGAATAAGAGAGGAGGAAGAATGCAGCTGGGAGAGGATTCTGGTCAGGGTGGCTTAGGCTTTGGCAGAGAGTGTAGATAAATGGGGAAAGGAAGCAAGCTGGTCGCAGGAGGTGCCTCTGTAGGGAGGGAACAGTCTAGAGTGACACATAAGGAACAAATGAGGGGGACAGGGGGCTCCTGGTTAGAGAGGCCAGAACAGAGTTAGAAAAAGTTCATGACTTGGGAGAACCAAGAGGTCATTGTCACTTTGGTTACCAAGGTACAATCGCTAAGGGATTGCTTCCCATTACGTGGTTAGATAGATTTTGTGTTTTCTATCATTATCTTTCCTGCTGTTTGCTTTGCCAGTCATGTCAGTGTTTATTGGAATGAAATAATTAGTTAACTCGATAGACAAATTGCAGTTCTAGAAGGCTTTTTGTGTCATTAGGAAGGGGATTATCTTTCAATGCTAAAATGATGATTGCAACAGTGAAAATGAAATTTTACATCTTTTGGCCTTAAGGTCCTGGAGGATTGAGACTTAGGTGTTCTCAGTTACTGCCTCCCCCATGAACTGATGGGGTTCAGATAAGAAGAGAGCTCCAGAACAACCTGACATTGAGAAATTCGATGTTTCTGTTCTCCAGAGGACACTTTTCATTGCATGAGGACAAACTAAGAGAAGACATTGGCAAAGATTAAAAGTGAAGGGGCCACATGCAGGAGAATGAGTCTTGGCCCCTATTTCATACCGCACATAACCTTGGGCTTCAAATGAATCAAAGACCTAAATGTAAGAGCTAAAAGCATTGATTCTTAGAAGAAAACGGAGTAGCAAATCTTGATCTTGAGTTTGGCAAGGGCATATTAGATGTGACCCCAACACACAAAAAGCTAAAGAAAAAAAATCATAAATTGGGCATCATAAGTATGGAAGCCTGCTTTGCTTGGAAGGAAACCAACAGGAAAGCAAAAAGGCAATGTTCAGGATGGGAGAAAATATTCACAGTTGGTGTAGCTGACAAGAAAATTGTATCTAGACTATATCAAGAGCTTACAACTCAATAATTAAAACAAAGGCCAATTTAAAAATGGGCCAAGGATGTGGCTCAGTGGCAGAGCAGTTGCCTAGCATGTAGAGGGCCCTAGTTTCAATCCTCAGTAAAACACACACACACACACACACACACACACACACACA